ATTACGATATCTGAAATGATATAATTTTAAATTGTATAGACATTTGTATAAATACCCTTTAAGGCAAATAAATAAACCAACAGAAGAGTCATATTTTGTTTACTAATCGAGTTATTACGCTTTTAAGTCAAGCTTGAAAAATTCACACGGTTTTTGAATTATATGTAAATTGCAGGAAGGATGATCAATGGACACTACATCCGACCATTGAAGAAAAGATTATTCATATTTTGATAAAAATATGTTCAATACAAATATATATATCAATTATTCATTTTTCCACGTGGGTGGTTAAATACAAACAAATGATTGGCACATATCAGTACACAGGTTTATAAACATTTACTTTTGTGACATTTTTGTTACATGCATAGCAGTGCAACCGTATTAGTCACAGTACAATTTGATAAAGTCGATAAGGGTTAAATATGTAGTCGAAATTTATTTTTTTGCGAGTAAACACATTCGTCAACATGGTGTTATTGGTTGTCGTAATAGTTTTTATTAACGGTAAGTACAAAATGTATTTGATTTTAGCATGAGCAATCGGTGTAAAAAAAAGAAAAGGGAACTACAAGTATGCTGATGTCTACCTGTAGGAATATTTCTGCAATTTTCCATAATCATATCAGATTTTGAATGTTGATATTTTTATGATACTTTAAACGGAGTATACGGACAGTACACAAGATAACAACCGCCAACACTTGACTCCTCCTACAAATAAAATATAAACAAAGATAAACAAAAACAAACAACACACTGTCCAGATAGCCTGACTTGATACAGGCATAACGTGCACTTAAGTTGAACTAGTTTAACGTGCTCACAACCTCCAAGCCCCCTAGTGCTTTATCTACCTAGACTATGTCGTAAAGTTAAAACACACAATACAAAACTTTAAACAATGCAGCTACCAACATGAAAACATACGCTTTATGTCTTGCTATAATCAGTCGCGCTTTTGCTTAGTGATTTTTCTTTGACTCTAAAAACATAGTCGGGAAATATATCATGGCTTTTTCGCATTTATATGAACTGTTCGTAAAGTCAAGTCGGAATCTTTCAGTGAAAAATATACGGTATGGATTTCATTGAATGTTGAAGGCCGTACCGTTACCTATAGTTGCTTACATGTACGCTATTTGGACTCTAGTGGATATATACTTGTCTCATTGGCAATCATACCTTATCTCCTTATTTTTGTATGTACATGAAAGTCAAAGTTACCGTAGTGTGTCTGTATTATTGAAGCATATCTTTCAATAATATTTTTTGTTTTGTCTTGTTAAAGCTGACGCGTAAGTTTTAAGCGCAATTGTAGAGTACCAAGTATCGCGAATGAATTATTAGATTTAATGCAAGAAATTATAACTTCCTTCACAAGTTAAAAATGGTGAAAATCGATGATACATTATATGATGTAAAAAATCTAACAGTTAAGTATACTTTAAAAGACACTTTTATTAAAAATGAATCGCCAATTGTTCGATTTATGACCCTTACCTTTTTCGTTACATGTATACATATCATACCTTACAGGTTCATTGTCATTTTGCACATATTTTTGTGCAGATTATTCAGTTAAGATTGTCAGCGTTACAGAATTGTCCCCGCTATATTTACTAAAAAGACTAGATGTACTTGTGCTACCGGTATGTGATAAAGTTTGCCAGGTTCTTCTCGATTATAAGTGGTTGAAAATTGAAACCCCACTTTCCTAGATCAAAACACACGATGGTCTTAACCTTGATTGTATGAAGGAAGCTGATATAAGCAAGCATCATAAGGACGACAAAAATGATCTTTCTTAAGAGTTTATATAGTTTAGTATGTCGGTGAACAAGTATTGTGACCTAGGTCTTGGGACATTGTGTACTTTTTTCTCTAACTATAATGATTATTGTTGCTGCGTGTCTTTATATTCATAAATTATTGATTAGTATATTTTGGAGAGGACTATCTTAGGGAGCTACCATTTGATTTTTATGGGGGGGCTAGGATGAAAAAGTTTGTCCTGCTTTTTTTTTTAGCTGTAATCTCTGTCCTGCCTTTTTATTTTTTTACTCTATTCGGTCCTGCCTTTTTTTTACTAGTTTATCCTGAATTTATTTACACAAATTGTCATCCTTTTTTTTTACCAAGTTGCTCATCCTGCCTTTTGTTTTACTCAAAACTCCTGTCCTGCTTCAAATTTCATCCTAGCCCCCCCCCCCCCCCCCCCCCCATAAAAATCAAATGGTAGCTCCCTTAGTTGTGATAATGTGTGTCGGATTCTTTTTGATATATGTAAAAGCAAATACAATATGTTTACGAATGAGAGAAAGCAAGTAAAGTATTCTCTTTGAAAAATGATTTTGCAACGTATAATTTTGGTGACTTGAGTGTAAAGGACACTGGACTATTTGTTTTACCTTGCATATATTCTTCAATCAAATATGTGTAACCTCTTGAGAAAGAAATGCGTAATTTACGTTCATGGTTTTTGAACTGGTTATTGCGTGCAAATTGGTGAAGCGAGTTCTTTGATACGACGCGTGTCATATCTACATCAAAGTAATGGTAATTATACATATACATCTGAAAATAATAGAAATCATCGAAATACACCATTATTTGGTTTGTTTTATATCTCACAATGTTGTGTAAATAATTAATAATGAAATAACAAAATACAAAATACAAAATAAAAATTGAAAGATGTTGGGTGGTCATCCCCAAACGACCTCGTGACAGTTCAAAGTACTTAAAACGTTGAAAGACTATAATTATGAATAATGTATATAGAAAATAAAAAAATGAAGGACAGCTCAGAAATCTGCTGTCCGCTTATTCATATTTTTTAGCACAAATATATATTACAAACTAAAACTGGTAAAGCCTAAAGAGACGAATAATTGAGAAAAAAAAACAAGTATTCTGAGAGTATTGCGTGGCAATACATAGTCCCCTACGGGTTAAAAATTCATTGAACTGGAACAAAATACTAACTTGATCTATAACTTGCCATGGTGTAATCTACATAACAAATATCAAGTCATTATCTTCAACCATGACCCAAAAAAGTGTAGAAAACTGATTATTTGAGTGAATTTTCTAAGTCCAAGGACCATAACTCTGCACAAAATCATCAAACCGGAACAAAATTCAAACTTGATCTGTAACTTGTCATGATAAAACAATATACCAATTATCAAATCAATATCTTCAAGCATGACAAAAAAAAGTGGAAAACTGATTATTTGAGTGAATATTCTAAGTCCAAGGACCATAACTCTGCACAAAATCATCAGACCGGAACAAAATTCAAACTTTTTTGATCTGTTACTTGTCATGATAAAAGAATATACCAAATATCAAATCAATATCTTCAAGCACGAAAAAAAAAAGTGTGGAAAACTGATTTGCCGGACAGACAGACAGATGGACGGAGTGCAAACCTAAAGTTCCCTCAGACTTCGTCGGTACGGGACTAAAAAAATATTCCCAAAATATACATGTAGATTTCCATTCTTAATTTTATGTAGGTAGTAATAATAGTTTATTATTTTCTTGGTCAGCTATTCGCACTAGAAGTCAATTTGAATTTTCTTCAAATAAACATTTGTACGACGTGTATATCTGAATTAACATCAAGATGTCGTTAAATGAAATTGAATACCCTGCATTTTCCAGATTTTCAATAACATATGGTCGAATCGCAGAGAGACCCTCTCCTAAATTATTGACAAAACATAATATTTTGGTGTAAATTAGATACACCAAATTCGACTTACGCCCTGAAGTTGTATCTTATGCATATAAATTGACCTTCAACAGATACGCTTAATATATTTGTAGAATCGTATTTTGCCATAAATATTCATTTTGAATTGTCCAAAAAGTACCTTATAAACATAATTTATCCATAGATGTCATTCGAGTGATATAATGCAGACTCCATGGGGCCTATATATATACAAATGCTTTTATTATAATCATTTTAATAAAGGATACAAGAGAAATGATATTGTATTTCAATTTAAACATTTTGATTGGTATTGTCAAAATACTATACAATGTATTCCTTGTAAAAATAAGAGAGAAGGAACAGGTATGACATGGCCCTGTTTTAGTCCATTGAATTCGAAAATCAAAAAGTATAATTCTTCTACAAAAATAAATTACATCTTTCAGATGTTTAAACTGAAGATGTTGGTTTATTTGACATCAATATATTTTTTGCTTTTAATTTTATCTCATATATTTGCATAAGGGCTTTAAATCTCTTTCATTTGGTACAAAACTGTTATAACTTCCAAAATTATCTCTATATTGAGAACTAGTCATTAATGTGTAGATTTTAGCTAAAGGCTGGACTCAAAAAGACAATTTGCCTCATCATGTACACGAGTATGTATTTTGTCCAAAAACATGTGTAATATTAGTTTATACTTCAACTAGCTGTGTTTAGTTCCCAAATGAAGTAACAAAGCTATATATTTTGTAATGTCAATTTCATCATGGATCACTTTTTTCACAATCAGGGGTTCATTTAGAGAGGAAAATAAGTTTGAAATTTGAACTACAATATAAATAACTATCAATGTATTAATTTAGTTGCAGTATAAAAACAATATTAGGTTAATGTCAGAAAAGTATAAACTTTTTTGTATTCGGCACAAAACTGGGGAGGGGCTCGGTACAACCTCGCCCTTCCCCAGTTTCTCAGCCTCGTACAAAAAAGTTTATATTTTTCTGACATTGAGATTATATTGTATTTTTTTTGTAGTCAAATTTGTCAATTTCCACATGTTTATGACATCAAAGTGATATCTCAAGTTCCCTTCCAGTGCTCAAGTCTCCAGAATTATACCTGTCTGTCCATTTGATATCAATAAACAATAGCATCATTTTCACAAGCTTAAATCTTTTTCTCCTTTTATATTTCAAGGGACGTATATTGGCTCTTACCATACCTCCTCCATTCCTAGTAACTTTATATTTTTTTTTTCTTACAGTCGTTGGTGCTTGTCGAAATTGTACACAGCAGGATTTTATGACTATACAAGAGTCATGCAAAGAGAGTGATCAAAATTTAATCAGAGCACAGAATCAATTTTCTAAAGAAAACGAAACTTCGCTTTGCAAGTAAGTCAGTATAGCCACACAAAGGTCATTAAATTAAATGTTTCTTGGTCGATCGAAAGTTAGATTTCTTGCCAGGAAAGGTAGAGATACAAATACATTTAGAAATTAGGTACATGTAAATATGTATAATATCCTATTATTCATAATTCAGTGTATTGGAATATTACATTTTTAACTCACCTGGCCTGAATACCATGTGAGGTTCCCCATCACTTGTAGTCCGTCGTCTGTCGTTCGTCGTCCGTTAACATTTACAAATATCATCTCCTCTGAAACTACTAGGCCAAAGTTAATCAAAGAGGGACGAAAAATACCAGAGGGACAGTCAAACTCATAGATCGAAAACAAACTGACAACGCCATGGCCAAAAATAAAAAGACAAACAGACAAATAATAGTACAGATGACACCACATAGAAAACTAAGACTAAGCAACATGAACCCCACCAAACACTGGGGGTGATCTCAGGTGCTCCGGAAGGGTAAGCAGATCCTGCTCCACATGTGGCACCCGTCGTGTTGCTTATGTTATTACTAATCCGGTAAATAGTCTAATTCGGTAAGTCACATTCGTGAAAAGGGAAGGGTATTGTAGTTACGACATAAGGAACTTGGCCACAATCATCATTTGGATATCTAGTTTAAAAGGTGTCCGATGACCCGCTTGCCAATCGCAAGATGGCCGACATGGCTAAAAATAGATCATAGGGGTAAAATGTAAGTGTTGTCTATTATTTTGAAAACCGCTAAAAATAGAGAAAGTCTGACAGGGTGCAAAATTTTCAAAATGTTGAGCTCTTTCTATTATCTGTTGATGTCAAAACTGCCAAGACAATTTCTTATTGAAGTTATTGCCCTAAAATGACGAATTTTACTACTTTTTTCAATTTTGCCTATTTATCATGAAAACTATTAAAGATGGAGAAACTTTTAACAACAAAACTGATCATCAAGACAAGATCAACAAATAATTCAAATAAGGGAAATCGTCAATCGATTCCTTATTGCTCTTTAATGACAATTTTAACAATTTTTTTTGCGTTTTTGCCTAAAATCTTAAAAACTACAATAGATAGATAGATAAAACCTTTAAACAGCATGAGTGATCAGCAAGAAAAGATCTACAAATAAAACTATTGGCCAAATTCTTCAGTCGACTGGTTATTGGAATGATTGTTCTTTAATGACGGTTTTTACCATTTTTTGGCGTTTTGCCTATTATCTTGAAAATTATAAAAGCTAGATAGAAACTTTGAATAAAAAAAATTATCAGCAAGACAAGATCTACAATAAGGTCAAATTCTGCCAAAAAGGTTAGTAGATAGGAGTGATTGCCCTTAAATTACGATTTTTGTTTGTGTTTTGGCCAAAAACTAAATAAGATAGAGAGACACTATAAACAGTAGTCTACAATGCTTAAGATGCACATAGAGCTATGTGAGCGACACAGGCTCTTTGAAGCTCTTTGTATTTCCATGAGATGAAATATTTTGAAAAAAATGTGCCAATTTAGAATTTCAGATCTGACTGCAAAATTGATTCTCAACCGAAGTTAAATATTATTTTATGCTTTGTATTAAATACATAGACAAGGTATACCGAGGGTTAATTATTATAACATTTTATAAGAAAAGTCGATGATTTATTTGAAAAGGTACATCTAGCAATAATTGATTGATTGGTGTTTAACGCCACTTTCAACACTATTGTGCTATTTCGTAGCGGTCAGTTTTTATCGATAGAGGAAGCGAGAGTGCCCGGAAAGAACCTCCGACTTTCGGTAGAAAAACTGACAATCCTAGTCAATTATGATTAAAGTCGAGCGCACCTGCCACGTGCGGGATTCAAACTCACAACCTAAGTGTTGACATGCAAGTGATACAGTTGGTCGACTACTTAGACCACTTGGCCACCGAGGCTCCTACCTTGCAATAAGTATTATTGTGTACATTATAAGTACATTATATAAACAGCCACTGTACTCAACTCAAAAGAAGTATCTAGAATTGAAATTGGAAATCTAAAATCAATTAAAAAAAAGAACGAAACATTAGATAAAAAGATATAAAAAAAAAAAGACATCAAGGAAAGAAGACGATCAAAAATCATTAGTTGAAGATTTGTTACGGACAATAACATCAAACTTATGAAGTTGACTTAAGTCGTATATTTTTTGCCTCCTACAAATTGTCTGCGGTAAAGTGGTTTCTTAAGCTCGATCCAGGATTGTTACGGCACATAAAACTTCAAACACGCACAACAGCCATGGACACTTATATTTTAGCTATCTATATGAAATAAAGAGACATGGTGTGATTGCAATTGAGACAACTATCAATTAGCGACGATCTGAAAAAGATGTGAACAATGGCCTTCAACAATGAGCAATATAAATAATTCTCATATAGGTTAATCGCAAAACACACAAAAATTATCTACAAGTAGTAATCTTTTACTTTTTAACCTACAAATATACAAATAAAAAATAGGAGTTCCAGAGACAAAGAATTAATTACCCATACTAATGTGTAGTATAATAATTTTTTTTTTATAATTAATGATAATATCAAATAAAATTCCTGTATGAAATATTTTTCTATTCTTTTCAGTTTTTTGTTTCAATTTTATTATTGTGTCGGGGACCATGTTCCAGCATGTCTTCAACAGATTTCAAGCAGATATGCAAGATACTATTCCTCTCCGTTTGATTGTCATCCAACACCGGAAGTGACGTTAAAATTACAAAATTATACGATTAAAGCGAACGATTGCTCAAGTAAAATTCCAAATGACCACGAGACAACAGTCAAATATAACATCATTACATCGTCACAGACAAGTCACATGAGAAAACACAATTCATTAAATACAACAAATGTAGCAATAAAAAATGGTAAGTTTAAAGTATAACTTCATAAATATGACTGTATGTAGGTAACCTTGTCCATTGGACAGGTGTAGTCTTAAGTATTCTTTCGTGGTTTAAAGCGATTTTAATTTAAAGTAGTCCAAAATGAAAACAATTCCGAGACGACAGAGAAAAAAATAAAAGGCGAGACATATTTATGTGTCAACAGTGTATTGAATACATAGTGTACCGTTTTAACTTGGGAATCTCAAATGCCTCTTTAATAAATGAAGAAAATATTAGTATAAAACAAAAAAATTATATAATTACCAAAACTATCCATCAATTGGTAGATAAAATCAACAAGATGTCTTTTTGTGATGTTACATTTTTGTCGAGCCTGTGACTTTTGTCGCAAAAGCGAGCTATAGCCATCCTACATTCCGTCGGCGTCGTCCACAAATATTCACTCTGTGGTTAAAGTTTTTCAAATTTTAATAACTTTCTTAAACTGTCCTGCATTTCAAGCAAACGTGGACAGAAGCTTGTTTATGATCATAAGATAGTATCCAGAAGTAAATTTTGTGAAATGAAAAACCTGTTTATCCGTATTTTACTCATAAATGGACTTAGTTTTTCTGCCAGTTAACATTACATTCACTCTGTGGTTAAAGTTTTCCAAATTTTAATAACTTTCTTAAACTATCCTAGATTTGTACCAAACTTGGACAGAAGCTTGTTTATAATCATAAGATAGTATCTAGAAGAAAATTTTGTAAAAAAAAAATCCTGTTTATCCGTATTTTACTCATATATGGACTTAGTTTTTCTGCCAGTTAACATAACATTCACTCTGTGGTTAAAGTTTTCCAAATTTTAATAACTTTCTTAAACTATCCTAGATTTGTACCAAACTTGGACAGAAGCTTGTTTATAATCATTAGATAGTATCCAGAAGAAAATTTTGTAAAAAAAAAATCCTGTTTATCCGTATTTTACTCATATATGGACTTAGTTTTTCTGCCAGTTAACATAACATTCACTCTGTGGTTAAAGTTTTCCAAATTTTAATAGCTTTCTTAAACTATCCCACACTTGGACAGAAGCTTGTTTATGATCAAAACCTAGTATCTAGAAGGAAATTTTGTAAAAATTTTATTTCCTGTTTTTCCGTATATTACTAATAAATGGACTTAGTTTTATTCCAGTTAACATAACGTTCAGTCTGCAGTTAAAGTTTTTAAAACATTTATTAGATTCATAAACCTACATAACGCGTATGGTCCAAATACTCATATGGTCCGGAACGTATATAAACAAGGTCACACAGAATCACCAAGTCTGACATGTTTTTGCTATTTGTAGAATTTGATGTTACAACGACTTAGTCTAAGACATATCTTATATAAATTCTGTCAGTAATTTATTATTGTTTAAGATTCGGGAATTTGTGTTTTGTTTTACATGAAACCGTTTGTTGCATGTACACGAACATTAATTGTGTTGATTTATTGGAATATCTTATTATTATTTGGGTTGGTTTTTATTAACAAAAACTGAAAACTTATGACCGAATTTATGCAGGCGATTCAAGAGCTTTTGAACGGAATTGAACACATACAATAAACCGGAAAATAATGAAATGTAGCATATGACAAATTAATTGATTTTGTAACATTTACGTAATTGCTTTCTGGCTATTGTAAAATATTGGCATTCGGTGGATAAAAAAGTCTATGTCTAAATTGAATCAGCCTTGAAATATGTATACACAACGAAAACTCCAGACTCAATTACTAAATGCATTTCGTTGTAGAGATTCGATCTTTTCATAACAGTGCTTTAAAGGAATTTTTTATTATCTTTTATTTCAGCCTCTCCTTCTGGGACATTCCTACTGGCAGTCAGTGCAATTATTTCGTGTTATTTGGATATATTATGACAGGAAGTGAGAGTTATCTGTCGCCTAGTCACGCATCGTTGTTCGCTTTTAATCAAATAATTCAGGAAGGAAAAGATAATCAGAAACTCATCAAACAGACAAAATACCAAATCAAAGTTCAAGATCAGATATTGGGTTAAACGTTAGTGACAAGAGACTTCCGGTAGTGTTTTCCAATAATTCTGCACTGAGTGTATTATTCTGTGATAAGCAATGAATGTTGTGGGAAATCAATAATGGTATTCAATCGCTATAAAACTGCCGGTTGCAAATGCTAAGTTACATTATATTATGATAAAGTTATTTATTTTAATCATCATTTTTAATATAATAGTCCCGGATTAATTCGCTGTTTTTAGAATCTAAAGCATACGGCTAATATATTTTCAAAGGCGTACAACAAAATTGTATGCCATGATTGGTTAAAAATGTCCTATACAGTAGGAATTCAACCAATGACGCGACGTTATTGTCATTTTAAGGATAGAAACAATGAAATTACCCATAGTTCCGTGGAATCTGAATCGGGGAATCGTATTTTGCTGAAATTGTAACATCGATTTGGCTGACAAATTCTGTAATTTTGCAATTTCCTCAGGGAAAGTTAACACATAATGATGACTTGACTTTTGTGTAGATTCCTTTTTAGTTTTATTGCTCCCCATACAAATTTACATATTTGGCTTTACAAACGTGGCAATGAAATGACGATGGTTATTACATTTAGATGCTGCGAAACAGCACATTCGATAAGTTAACTTTGATATATCTAAGAACCACATGCCGTGTTCTTGTCACGAATGGATTAATAAATCTAGGGCAAAAAGTTATTCATGACGTTTTAACTGTAGGGCAAATATAGTTTTATTTATTTAATATACAAATGTTTTATGTGGCCTTAGTTTCAAGACATAACGTACTAAGTGAAATACACTTACTTAATGTATCCTTGTCCATTCTGATAATGTCTGAAATAAGATACTATTCAACCGACTTGTTGACGGTAACCAACATATGCATGATAAGAATGAAAATCGTGAGAATGTACTTCGAAAAATGAGGCATTCAATTGTCTCTAAAGAATACAAATATCGCTAAATGCATAATTATAACCCCAAACCACCATTCTGAGTTACCCACACATATTTTTCAATTGGGTTTTTGTCGTTTTCTCGACAAGACGAACGAACCAATATATTAAATGAAAATACAAAATTTTTAAACCTCCTCATTTCAAACCGAAGATTTTGCTGGATGGTTAAATACTAGTGAGTCATTATTTACTTTACCGAGAGAAAAAAACTTTAGAACTCAATACTAATCAACAATCTGTACTACCTTGAGAAAATCAAAATTTCTTTTGTATAATACGTGTTCCCTACAGGTTTTTATTTACCTCATGACATGTCGCAACCACCTCGTAGATGAATCATATGACCGGAAAATCCTTTTGCTACTGTAATATATATTACATTTACAAACATTTTTTTCATCTCATCAGGTTAGAGCTTTTTCAGTTTCCGAGCCGCGTGTTGTATGATTGTGTTTCTGTTTACATGAAACGAACGTCTTGCTTTTCGGACAACTGTTTGGGTTTTATACTTTCTTTTGAAATGCATGGCTATCAATTCAATTACTATAAAACAATTTATAGTGTGATTTTTTTGTAACAACGCCTTTATTCTGTTGAAAGCCCTATGTTGAATCTCTTAATTTCATTTGTTTTGATTTTTTGTGTTGTTGGGTTACTGTCTCAATGACGTTTACACGACATCTAGTATCTATAATTATAATTGTGCTATGTATAACATTACATGTTGGTGTACGTGAATATGACAATAACCCAAAAACTACACAAAAACACGAACTTCAAAGATCAATAGTGCCGAAATTCAGATATAAACATATACACTATTATATTTTATGTTCGAGTTAATACACGGAAACCTAGCCATGCTAATCATGCGCCATTTGCACCTTTTCATATCTGTACTACACCAAAAGTTGTCATTTTGTGATTTTGTTACATTCCGAGTATTATTTTGTTAGTATTTGAGCAATCGTAACTACTCGGCCTTTCTCGTTACGACTAAAATGCATAGCGATTATGGCCGAGTAGCTACGATTGAGTATTTGAGAGAACAAATAACGTCCATAAATAATGCTTTAATCAAATTGTAAATTTATTTTTTATTGTATTTTGTACTTTGTTTATGTTTGTAAAGGTTTAATAGGTCCTTCTAGATTGTGCTAAACTAATGTAAGCTCAGGAGTTGTGCTAGAGTGCTGTAAATGTGTATGTAAAATTGTACAGCATACTTTTCTTCTAATTGAACTTTTTATAGCATCATAAAGGTGCTTTATGGAAGAGGTAATTTAACTCACCCTCCCCTTCCCCTAATTGCTAATCTTTTAATCGATACATTGTTTTTTCTAGTTTTATTTTTTTCTAACCTCAGTATATCTTGAAACATCGAAGGGTCCAATTATTGCTGTTACCTGCGTGCTATAATAGTCCTTAATGTATGTTTGCCCTGTCCTGTTGAAATTCGTATACTTTGTTGAAATTTCAGCAATAAATTAAATAAAAATCAATTAGTACTTCATGTAAGCCTTTGTCCAGTATTAAATCTTATACTAACAAGACAACCGTTTTGTTATTGCACTTTCAAGAAATAAATTTCTAAAATTTTAAATTTACGTTATGTTTAACCTTTGTTTCCTATTTTGGGAAGAAGCATTAGTTCGTTTCAATGGAATAAAAATGCTGAAAAACAGTTAACACTTTAATACATGTGTAACATGTTATTTATATATATGTTGTGTACAAGAGGGTTTTTGTACAAGTTATAAGTTTTTTGACACATAACTTCTTGCACCAGGTAATAAAAGTATATCTTCCAAAATGTTTCAGTTTAATGTCTTAAATTCTAATTTATATACTAGTACTTCAACCCTGCATTTAGTGCTATTTCCCTTGTCCTCAAACTTGAAATGAAGATAACTGAATAGTTTAAATTCTAATTTTTGTCGAGCCTTCGACTTTTGTCGAAAAAGCGAGACATAGCGATCCTACATTCCGTCGGCGTCGGCGTCGTCGTCGTCGTCGTCGTCGGCGGCGTCCACAAATATTCACTCTGTGGTTAAAGTTTTTGTAATTTTAATAACTTTCTTAAACTATCCTGGATTTCTACCAAACTTGGAGAGAAGCTTGTTTATGATCATAAGATAACATCCAAAAGTAAATTTTGTAAAAAAAAAATTCCATTTTTTCCGTATTTTACTTATAAATGGACTTAGTTTTTTTGCCAGTAAACATTACATTCACTCTGTGGTTAAAGTTTTTGAAATTTTAATAACTTTCTTAAACTATCCTGGATTTCTTCCAAACTTGGACAGAAGCTTGTTTATGATCATAAGATAGTATCCAGAAGTAAATTTTGTAAAAAAAAAATCGTTTTTTCAGTATTTTACTTATAAATGGACTTAGTTTTTCTGCCAGTTAACATTACATTCACTCTATGGTTAAAGTTTTTGAAATTTTAACAACTTTCTTAAACTATCTTGGATTTGTACCAAACTTGGACAGAAGCTTGTTTATGATTAAAAGCTAGTATCTAGAAAGAAATTTTGTTAAAATTTTGTTCCATTTTGTCCGTATTTTACTTATAAATGGACTTAGTTTGTTTTCCAGTTAACATTACATACAGTCTGCAGTTTAAGTTTTTAAAACATTTATTAGATTCATAAACTATCCTGGATTTTTACCAAACTTGGACAGAAGCTACTTACAATCAAAAGATAGTATAGAGAGGAATATTTTTATTAAATTTTTTCCTCTTTTTTGTTGAGCCTGCGATTAACAGCAAAAGTAGGCGAGACACTGGGTTCCGCCGAACCCTTACGAATTTTTATTTTTCTACTCATACCAAAGTCATATCCATAACAAGTATTTGTGTGTTCTAATAATGTCTTTTGTATCAATGCTCAGTATTAGACTGTATCATGTAGTTGTGAAAATTTGACAGAAATATGCGAAACAAAAGACTGTGTGCTTGCATCATCCATTTGTGTTAAGCGGTTCATAAAACACTGATAACTTGTACAAAATATATGTACAAATTATAATTTGTACAACATTACAACTTGTACACAACATATATATACATTTGTGTATGTGTTAATTTGACAAACCCTTTAACTTCTTCTGTTCCTTTTACTTCAAAAATACTTTACTATAAATTTAATAAAATTACATAATTCATATTTTCAATTTGAAGTAAGAAACAGTGTATCTTATTGGTAACACAAACTATTTGTACTGAGATTTAACAAAATAATCTCTTATCAACAGCTGAATGAAACTATTTGATTGATTACTATATTAAACTACTTTATTTTGTCTATTCTAGTGGTTCAAAACACAGGCACTAAATGAACTCTTTTTTTGTCCAAACGACTAGTCTCGCTTGAATATTCTAGAGTACGTTCTAACGTTGGAATCTTTTCACCAAATCTTAAGCCTTTTCATAGACTGTGGTAACAGTTCATGTCTGTAAATATTTGAAGTATTGACTGTGTTCTATTTTAAAATCTGTTTCTACAATTACTTTTCAATCGAATGAACCCTATATGTACATGTACCGCTGCTTCAAGTAGCCAGTATGGCAGTACTAAAACGATTTTTTTAATGTAATTTACCAATCTATGAATTGCGTAACTTCCTCACATAGTTGTCTTCAGACGATTTTCGGTGAGGTCCTTTTGATTTTGCTGCTAATCTTTTTGTATATGCTGCTTCTAGGTCGTTTATGTCATGGCAGTGAGACCATTATCATACATCAATATCATCTTACAGTTTCCAATTTGTATAATTATTGTATTTTTTTTTTTTTGTTCTTTAAAAAGTTGTTTATTAAAATTATTTTAATTACTAATTTTTGAGTGAATGAAATATATCACATTATATATTAATTACACAATATATTACGTCGTTTAACTGACGTCTTTGGGCATATGTTATTTTAAGATAACATATTTTTTTTTCTGAATTAAGATATGGTAAAAAAAACCGTGATCATTGTAATATCATTGTACACATGACATGTTGCTTACGCTCCTGTGATTTTTGTTGATTGTTCAAATATGATTTAAATTTGTTATATTATTTTTGTAATGAAATTAAATGAAAGTTCAAAACACCAAATGCAGTTGTTTGTTACTGTGATGTTTGCATTGATTAAACCAATAAGTAAAACATCGTGGCAATGCGATTTATGTTCCATGATTTTCCATTGTCAGATAGAAAAGTAGGAGACAGGCAAACCAGTATATATAGATCGGAAAGGGAGAAGATATTAAGGGGTGAATATCAAAGTACTGAACTACTGAACATCGGATGACCGCAAGTTCTGGAGGATGGTCACAAGCACTTGTCTCAGAAAAAAAATCACATCTTCATACCTGAAAGTGAGGTTAAGGTACATATATATATATTATATTTTTCCTGAGACAAGTTCGTGTGTGGATGATGAATAAATGACAGGGAATTTAACCTCACCGTTATAACTATCATATTGTACACTAGTGATATAATCATTTATTATCAGTATACTCTGGTTTGTTGTTATATATTATATTAATATTTGTATATAACAGTTATTATATTAATGTTTATATATAACAGTTATATATAATTTTCACCCATTTGTATATCAGTCTATTCTACTATTCTAATAATAGCGCAGTGCAAGTGCATGGTGGACACTCTTCTGTAATAATTCGTTTTTCTAATATATTGGATTTGAGTTGGCATTCATATTTTCCCGCAAAACGTTCTTGAGATATTCTTCCGCATGCGTTAGGTATTCTTGATTTGTTATTGATATATATATTTCTCACGACAAAACATTTTCATATCATTTATCTATGTTCTTAAAAAATATTTTCATAAATATTTATTGATGAAGTTAATAAATAACAAGCGATAATGAATGTTATTTTGCACTCGATAATGTCCGCGTATTTATACGATCGGTTACCAGTCAAAAACGAAAGTTTCGTAAGTAGAAATCTCTGTGGCAACAATACACCGGAATGCCCTCACGGTCATCCGATGTAAAAATCGGAAGTCGATGCAGCACACACAACACCTAGACCAAATGAAAAAAAAGAGAGAGATCAGTGTGCAAATAAAAAGTCGAATGAAAACAGACGATTCCATGGCTAAATATGAATACGACAAATGGACATTACTAACATATCTAAATATGGAGTATGAACTCCACCGATTGGAATGAATGCATGTGCTCCGGAATGTTAAGCAGGGTGGCACCGGCCGTAATACTCATTGCAAGTGAAAACAAAACAGTTGTTTGTCGTTCATAATGATGTCACAATCGAGGAAAAGGTGACAGTGTCATTGAAACAACAAATGACACATGTCCGCAGAAGGTCAACTTAATCATGATCACTCCGTTAATTGAAGTTTCGAAGGGATCATTACTTCAACTTAACGGTTTGGAACCCTTGTTTCAATAGGTTTCTTGTTAACGTGAACCCTTTATTAGGGAAATCCTGATGAGGACACACAAACCCTTGAATGTCTTATCATAAGTGCAAGATATATATTCCTTATGCAGGATTGCTACACAAAAAGGAAAGTTCACAACGAGAACATTAAAATGATCTCTTTTGTCCTTAAGTTTAGTTCTCAACAAATTATCGATGTCAATCTTTAGATGTAGGGCAATGTATGAAGAATACTTAACTGTAGCTGTGATAGCTTTTATTTCAAATTCATTGGGATAAATGCAGTCAACAGAGTCACACACACATGTATATCTAGTGAAATAACGTCATCTATGTACTTGTAGCTGAACGGGAAGTTGAAAGTTAATGCGAAGTTTTTAATTGTTGTTGAGAAGTTTTTGTGTGAAGTCTGCTCCATTAAAATAAAGGCGGAAATTGGTAATCAAAGGGTCGCGGTTGGTTCCCATAGTAATGCTGATTGTCTGTTGAAAACCATGTCATATACTAGTAAGCATTTCGAATATCTTATCCATAAAAAAATACAATACTAGATGCAAAAGAAAAAAGACGAATATACAAATTATAAACCAGAAACCAATACACAGAAATCAAAATATTGCGCAAGACGAATACCATCAACCCGCAGGTGAACTCATGAGTTCAAGAAAAAGAGTTATCAGTCTCTACTCTTATAGTGACTGCAGTTCCTTTAGGACGTTAAATGACAGGCATGTGACTAAATAATAAATAAATAATTGGCTTGTCTTTATATCTAACGATTTCCAAACTTGTATTTTAAGCTTTATAAGCATTGGATTGCATGTTAATCCAACGTTAGACAAATGACAAGTTATGGCGGTCATGTTTGTTGATAATCTGGATACCCTAACTTAGGATAAATTGTTTTAAAGAACTAGCTCAGTAGTATCAGAGGAGAGAATTTGTTTAAAGTTTACATATGACTGACAACAAAAGATAGCAAGCTTTTAATGTTCTTAGGTTAGATGAGCAAAACTAAAAAGGTATTTTAACCAAGAAGACTGATTAAAAGTATAATTGTAATAGCTGCAGAAGTATTATAATGTACTATTACAGTGAATCGTTGAGACAAAACATAAAAAAAAAAAAATCTTACATCACAACAAATTTACGTTTTCAGATTCATCGTATAAGGAAATTTGCCTTTAATGATAAATTTGTTTTGCTTCTTCTTTCTTTTCACATTCATTTGATATAAATTCACATTATATTTATTCATTATATGTATATTTGTAGGTGTGACACTTTACATTAATGTTTGTCTGAAACAGTTTGGACAAAACTAGAATTAATCTGCAACGTCATTGTATCTGGGTGATAACAATACCAGACTCGTAACGTCCATATACGTAGATTGCAGGATAAGTTCTGATTTCAAATGTGTCGCCAACATTCATGTTTGTAGCAAATGCAGTCGTTCCTGTTTGATAATCGCTTCCAAAAGAGTAAAATGCTTCCGCAAATAGTTCACCATTCTTATATACTATGTATCGTGTTTTATTGGTTTTGGTTGTGATATATACCGATACGTGATAAATGCCATTCTTTTCACATGTGAATACACTAGATTCTTGAATAGAAGATATATTCTGCACACCATTTGCAATTTCTATGACGCCAAATTGTATTCTTTGATCTGATTGATATAATCCTTCTTTTAACCTTGCAGACACAATCACTGAAAATATAAAATAAGTAATTTCATTTGGAAAAAAATATAGATGTTTATGATGACCGATTGTTGATGCTCTATATAGCGTTGAATCATGTTCACGTGTATATCGCAGCATTTGGCATGACATTGATATATCAAATGAATACTAAATGAATTTAAACCACATTAGTTGTTATTGGTTTTTAACTAGTTGTCAGTAACTGCGAGTACTCTCAGTTCTGTACTTAGTGTCTTTTTTGTTGTAAGAGATGAGGATGGATATATACCCTGCCACGTCCTGTCTGTGTTTTTGTTTGATGTTTTTCTTTGTATCGATCTAATGAGCTAAGCCTTTTTCAACTGAGTTTTATTGTTTGTTCTTATGTGGTGCTGTTACACCACTGTCCAAGGTTAGGTGTGTGTGGGGGGGGAGGGGGGGGCACAAACATGTTTAATCCCGCCACATTCTTTGTGTGCCTGTCCCTAGTCAGGAGCCTGTAGTTCAGTGGTTATCGTTGGTTCATGTCTGTCATATTTGTTTTTCGTAAATTGTTTTGTTGTGCATTAGTCCGTTAGTTTTCTCCATTGAATTGTTTAGTAGTTTTCATGTCGGTGCGTTTTAGAGCCGACTATACGGTATGGGTTTTTCTCATTGTTGAAGGCCGTACGGTTGCCTATAATTGCTTACATCCACTTCATTTGAACTTTTGGGGATATTTGTCTCATTGGCAATCATACTACATCTCCTTATTTTTACATATATGGAGAGATAAGTTACAGTTTTGTAATTCGAAAAAAGTAGCCTCGTTGGTCCCAATAAATAATTTTTCAAAGACTTTCGCTCAAACCGGTGCTAAAGGCCGTCTTAAACTTGCAATGAGGTGAGTGGTTTTTTTTTTTTTTTTTTTTTTTTTTGTTTTGTTCGTATTGAAGACTTCACTGTGACTTCAAGATGAAGAACAGCAATTAAAACGCTGTTCCTTTTTTTGTATTTTTTTTTTTTTTGTGTGTGTTTTTTTTTTTGCTGTGCATGTACTGATTTTGTGTCATGGATGGATACCCCATATATTTTGTTTTTCTATTATAGACTTAATGAATCATATTGAAAGGGTCTTATTCATGCAATCCCACACAAGATCTTTTTTCGGTAAATACAGCACATCCGGGTACTGCCTTTGCTTAGTTGATACTCCTAAGATCAAACATATTGGGTTTATTTGTCTGTATTATAATTTTTCTTAATAGAACAGAAACAACGCAAATATTTTACCAGTTTGTTATTTGTAACTCAACATTAGCCCAAAAGAAAAAAATCACACACAACGAAATATATATTAAATAAAAGTATTTCAAGTTGTTAAAATCCGCCTTAACCGTTTTCAGTTCGATGGGAAATTATATGAAAAAATCAGTCACTTCCCACTTGTTTCGATGATCCTACTTCAAAACATGAACTCAAACAAACTAATTCGATATTTCGAAATCTATCAAACTATTGATATATACATGTTGCACATTTCGTTAAATTTTTTTGTTATTGATTTAAAATTGATTGCATTTGGTTTCATTTGCCAAAAAAAAACGTGCTTAAATTATTTATTTATTAGATGTAAATTATTGCAATGAATTTTCTGTACCTCTCTCAGACAGTTGTAGCAATCTTTTTTCCAGATGTTGGTCCGTCAAATCTGCTTTGTGGTATAGGGCAAGAACATCTTGTTTTCTGGCATAGGCGTCACTTACGGTTACGTCTAATCTACTGTTCGTTTTTTGTAACTCTTGTTCGATATGTTTTGTTTGATTCCAAACCTCATAGACAGTTCGGAGATCGTTTATAGCCTTTAAGCTTTTCAATGATTCAATTTCATGCTCTAGTACTTTTGACTTGTTCACGGTTGCATACTTCGTCTGAAGTTCATTTATCATTGAGTTAACATTTTTCGAAGTACTCTCGAGTTCCTGTTGGAGTTTCTCTGTTTTAT